TGTCCGAACCAAAATCTATCTCTGAGGCTTTATCCCATAGTGGCTGGCGAGCAGCCATGCAAAACAAAATGTTGGCATTGGAACATAGTCACACATGAGAATTGGTTCCTTTACCCCTTAATAAAAAGGCAATTGGTTGCAAATGGGCGTTTACTGTTAAGATGAATCCTGATGGATCTGTTGCTCAATTGAAGGATCGTTTGGTTGCTAAGGAGTATGCTCAAATTTATGGTGTGGATTATTCTGAGACTTTCTCTCATGTTGCTGAGCTAGCTTCTGTTCTGTTGTTCATTTCTCTAACTACTACCTATCGTTGACCGCTTCACTAGTTAGATGTTAAAATTGCATTTCTCCATGGAGATTTGTACGAAGAAGTTTACATGGTGCAACCACTAGGGTTTGTTGCTATTGGGAGTCAGGGAAGGCATGCAAACTACAAAAGTCATTATATGGTCTGAAACAATCACCCTGTGCCTGGTTTAGGAAATTTAGTGAGGTTGTGATTGAATATGGCTTGAAAAGAAGTGCATATGATCACTCAGTATTCTTTAAACAGTTTACAATTGGGTGTATTTTGTTAGTTGTATATGTTAATGATATTGTGATTACTGGTAGTGATAGCAGTGGCATAAGGATGCCAAAGGCTTTCCTAGGCATAAGATTTCAAACAAAGGAGCTAGGTCCTTTAAAATATTTCTTAGGGATAGAGATATCTCGAAGTGATAAAGAAATTTTTATATCTCAAAGGAAATACATTCTGGATCTCCTAGATGAGACAGATTTAGCTGAAGCAAAAACTGGTGATGCTCCTATGATACCAAATGTGAAACTCGGAGCAGAAGATGGAAATGTGTTTGTCGATGCAGACAAGTACAGTAAGGTAGTGGGAAAGTTGAACTATCTTACAATTACTCGGCCAGATATTGCGTTTCCCATAAGTGTTGTTAGTCAGTTTATGTCATCTCCTAGAACTTCACATTGGGATGTTGTAACTTATATATTAAAGTATCTTAAAGGAGCTCCAGGACATGGAATTCTTATAGAGACTGTAACGCCCCAGATTTTATTGACTTAAATTTGAGTAGTTACCGATATCATTCCATAATCATACATCAAGCGGAAATAAAATTTAAAACTTAAAACCTTAATTTATTGAAACTCAAACACTGAATCAAATAAACATAGTGTCATAAATGGAATTAAAGAGAAACATAAAATGTCTTAACAAATTTATTATGGATTCCTAAAAAAAATTCTTTTACTTGACAACCTGCGCACACCTCAGCCACCATCCACGTCGACCAATCTTACCTGAAATGTTAAAACTAAAGGAATGAGTAATTTATACTTAGTAGGATACGTGCGTCCAAATAATATAATAACTTTTAAAACATGAATTTACAACATTTCATACCATCATTTCATCAAGAGCAGTCGGTGATCAATCGAATACTCTAACATATTTGAGAAGACTCGAAGGAGATCTCACATTTCATTTCATTTTATAGCGATCCGCAGGTCAATTAGCATTTCATGAAATAAATCACGTCAAAAATTATAGTATTGAAAGGACGGAACAACTTGCATATAGTATCCTACCTCGTTAGATTGAAGAATTTTTGAAAGAATAATCCAAGAGAATATTCCAATTTCCAAAGATCCTCAACTGCCTCAAACATATTTATTGATGGAGAATTGTTTTTTGCTTTGAAAAATATGTGAGAAAATTTGACTTATACATGATATTTATACTTTAAACAAAAGAGTCCTGGTGCATTGGAAATTGAGAGGCAGTGAACTACTAGTCAAATTTGGATAAATCTAGGTTTAAATATTTGGATAGTACTTTCATATTAACTCATAATAATCTTAATGACACGTGGGGTTGAATTTGAAGACTAGTTTAGATTCGTAGCAGTGAAGTCAAAACCTTATAGGATTTTGACTTTTAATTTTTACCAAGAATATAGGATAACTATTAACCATCAACTGCTAATTGTTATCAAAGTAAAAACTATAGGATAACTATTAACATTTTTTTTCCTACACATGAAACATGGTTCAAGGTGGGAATTATATATATAAATTTGGATATAATTCAATCTATATCAGATTAACGATAAACGTGATCATATATTATAATCTTTTGCTAATTAAATTGATCAAAAAAATTGGTGATAAGCCTAAATATAATGAAACTGGGTTTGGCCACGTATAATAACATTAAGAATTTAAACAATAGAGTTTAGATTAAGTATAATTAAGATTAAAATCCTTCCTTATCTCAATTGTCGTCACCTGTTTAACCAAAGAGAATAATGCGTTTAAAATATTTCATTTAATCATAACTTTCTTTCATTGGCCATTACTTGATTCGTTTTTTTTTTTAATCTAAATTTATTTTTTATCAAGCCTAATATACATAATTAAATATTAGCTACCCAAAGAGCCCAATGTTGATATACTTATCATCTTATCAAATTCCAAATATTTGACCCAAAATATATATCATCTTAATCCCTCAACTTTCCACATTATAGATAATCATGATTATATAGATGCAAACAAACAATTTAAATAATTAAATAATCAAACTCGTATTTAATTTCCAGAAAGCTAGTATTTATTCTCTATCAATCGAGAGCAAAAAAAGGTGGACAGCTTACAGTAGGAAATCACATAAATTCTCGTTTTAATTGTGGTTGACTCCAAATCCTAATTTAACTAACTAATAAGGGAAATCATGTTGGAGTTTTAATTAAATATCAATTAGCTTTTTAATCCTAATCAAAAGCAAGGAAGTTACACGTGGCTACATATTATTTAAAATACTATTACTTACCAACTCAATTAATAACAAAGCTTACGTCTTTAAAACTATAATATCTTGGCCCTAACTTATCCAAATTAACTTTTTCTCGAGCATAAAATGCATAATTAATTATATGCTATCCAACGAGTACAATATTGATATACTTACACTCACTCTACCAAAATTCAATTATTTGACCCGAAATAAAATATGAATTCAAAAACCTATTTCATCTTGGTCCTTATTATTATTATTATTATTATTATTATTATTATTATTATTATTATTATTATTATTATTATTTATAACAATATAACGAATAATATAATTAAGTTTTATTCTAAAATTTTCAGGATGTTATAGAGATCGTGGTCATTGTGGGGTTGAGGGTTTCTCGGATGCTGACTGGGCAGGTTTTCCCGTAGATAGGCACTCTACTACACGGTATTGTGTTTTCGATGGAGGTAATCTAGTCTCTTGGAAAAGTAAGAAACAAAGTGTTATAGCTCGATCAAGTGCAGAATCTGAATATTGGGCTATGCCACGGTGACTTGTGAACTTATGTGGCTACTTCACTTACTTGAAGAAATTGGCATTGATACGTCTCACTCTATGAACTTGTGGTGTGATAATCAAGCAGCTATTCACATTACCACTAATCCAGAATTTTATGAGAGGACAAAGCATATATAGGCAGACTGTCATTTTGTTTGTGAAAAGCTACAACAATGATTGATTTCGACCAAACATGTCAAGACAGGAAATCAATTAACTGATGTGTTCACAAAGGCCTTAGTCGAAACTCGAGTAAACTATATTTGTAACAAGCTTGACATGATTGATATCTATGCTCCAGAGGGGGAGTGTTATGAAATTATGCATCACTTTAAATTTATATTTATTCTTTACATATACAGTACATGTATATACCGTAGGTGCATAAGTTTAGAATTTTTCTTATTTTGATAGGATTGTTTCCTTACGAGAAACATCAACTCTATATATATATATATGTAACACACGTTTATGAATTGATATATGGAATAAGTTATTTCTCCAAAATCAACAAATCTTAAACAAAAAGGGTACCTTGGAATCAATGGATGCGACGAGATCATCAGGCCTAGTTGGCAAAGGGGTTGCAGCTGATACCGAAGCATAAATTCTACCACTGCTCCCGACAGTCTTGAAAGACCACAGGCGATGAAGTGGAAATTTTCTGCGTGTACAAGTGGACTAACACAAGGGCAGTGGAAGCAGAAGTAGCATTTGGTTCCTGGCTTTAACGTAACTTCTAAACCAACAAAAATATTGTATTTGACAAAAGTTTTCCAATATCACTACTGATTTTGCTTAGAAAAAGTTAGCGAGAATTTTTATTTTATTTTTTTTTTCGAAAAATTACATTTAGAATTTTTTTTTTTTTTTTTTTTGTCGAAAAATTACATTTTTACATTTGAAGAAGACTATTATTATACTTTTTTTTTAATATAAAAGTTGATAAATGTGGAATTAATCCCATAAGACGTATTGTTAAAATTAAAATTAAATCAATTGTAAAATCCGCCAAAATTTAGCAATCTATCGTGTTTGAAAACAAACTTAAATTATCGGATCGAGGCCTGGCGATGGCAAAAAAACTCATCCTGCCCCCCGAAAGGGTTGGCAGGGTGGGGCGGGGTGGGGTGGAGCCAGGATGCCGCACCTTGTGAGGGAAAAAAAAGAAGATTAAAAATAATTTTATTTCTAAACAATTCACCCGTTAAAAACTCATTTTGAATTTATATTTTATTATCTAATAATAACATAACTCGAAATTTTGAAAATGTAAAAAAAAATAAAAATTAAACAAGACAACAAATGAGACAAAAAGTCACCCCGCCCCACGCCTCATCTAAAGCGGGGCGGGGCAAGGCGAGGTATGAAAACCCACCCTGTTGTCATCCCTAGATTGAGCTTTAAAGTATGCTGCATCTTAGGTTTTTCTAGCAAAACCCTTTTTATTCTGCATTATTTTGAATACTTTCATATACTTCGCTGTGTGTACAAAATTCTTGTACATAACATGATAGAATGTCACATGACATTGCCAACAATGCATTTGACACTTTTAACAAAATTGTATTTCTATAGAGTTTTTCATCCATTTTGCACCACATCGTAAAAATAAAGTCAACCACATACAGTGTTATTCGACTTGGTCACATGCAGTCGAGCTAAAAGTGTAGTGATCAAATGACATCTAGTAAGTAAGCTCGAGTTGATCAAGTGTAAGATCGATTTGAGTACAAGTTAATAGCTCAATGTACCTACGCCAATAACCCAAGTAGAAAGAGCCCCTAGCTCGGCAAGAATACATATGTTGGAGAGTCACAACCATAGAAGATAACGATCAAATTACTTGACAGTAATCTCGAAGTACAAAAGATGGAACATAAGCATAAACTCTCATTTTCTGAAGCCATATTTTGACAAAGTCTAGTCGTTGTACAGCTAGTAGCATTTGCAAATGCAAGAACTTCCAAGAAAATCCAAGATAAAGTCCAGAAGGCACAATTTGTCAACCATCAGATTAGGTTTCAACCATTGGTTCAGGACCAGATGACTCTTCCCGAGATCTATTGGACTGACGAACTGTGTTGAAAAGTATATCCTTTATAACCTAAAAGAGTAGGATAAACCGGCATCGGTTAACCCAAAATCCTGTAACTATAATCTATCAGTGTGTAAGCAGTGTAATGATGTAAACAAGGCTGTTTACCTGTGACATCAAACCATGAACCTGCTCAACAGTTATCTTTGCACTATCACGAGTAATCTTGGCGAGTTGAGATTCTTCCTGAAACAGCGAAAATTATCGGTCAAGGGCAATATCAAAGAAAGCAGAAGGGTTGGACAGATTATTGCGCTACGAATATATGCATACATATACTTATAAATGGTCATTCCTGATGGGCTGATAAAAGATGAGGCAATGAACAGTTACATTTTTAAAGCAAGACGTTGCAAAAATAGGACAACCCAGACTCTAAAGTTCGATCTCCATGTCCAGAATAATTTTAGATTGGCAAACAAAAACAGTGGCCATAATTGCATTGTGAATTAACTGTATTCATCTCCTTGACCAGCAAAAAAATCACCCAACAAGCCTCTTTGAGCAATTTCAGATCCTTAAGTCCACTAGGATTGGGAAATGTCATTTAATGGTTAATAAGTACGTCACCACTTAAAAAGAGTTGTTTGGCAGCTTAAATGAAGGCATACGGTTCCTGCTAGCAGTCAACCTATACTGCTAAGTGTTAACAGTAACATGCATACAAGCAAGAGTTTCAAGATCTATGGAGTTTTAAGGGTAACTACAGAATTAGGAATATATCAAATATGTTCACTCGCGAATTTAGCAAGAGCAATAATAAATATAGGGCCAAAAGATCAAAGTTGTTTCGAATTTTGCGAGGCTGAATATCCGGTAATATAGTCCATACTCTCATATAAAAGAACTGCCAGTATTATAAAATTTACATATTGCATGTGCAATTTATCTTGTAACATGAGGATGGCTACATATTGTACAACACAATATATTTTCTTATTCTTAAATAGTAAATTTTGCACATGCAACTTCTCTTGTAACATCAAGGACAGAAACATGTTGCAAATCACTATTTTTTCATTTTGATTCTAAAATAGCTTGAATTACATGACAACAACTAGCTCAACAAAATAGATAATAACTGTTATGTGGGAACTGAGGTAGCATGTTTTACTAACTGGTAGAAGTTACTATCCGCAAGACCCCAAAACATAATGATCAAAGCACTTTACAACGCCAATTCAAACCTCTGTTAATCCTTCAATAGAATTCTGTCTGAAGACTGATTAATTGTAAAGAACCTCAGAAAGAGACAAGCACATCCTTTTCGAGCTGAAGACTGATTAATGGCAGAGAACCTCAGAAAGAAACAAGCACATCCTTGTCAAGACAACTAATACTCTAATCATGTAACATATGACAGTAACTTTCTTTAATATTTCCAGGAAAAAAAATATCTTAGATTCTCCAGTACATAAAATTATCCCAATCTTGCATGGTAGAAGTTTAAAAAGCATGGAGAAAATTCTTGTTCAGCATTAACAACATTCACTATCAATAGACTCAAAAACAATTTCGTCCATGAAGATAATTGTGAACTACAAAAGACAAACAGAAAAGAGCTTAACATATAAAAGAATATTTAATACAAAAAACCAGGCAACGATGTCTACCTGACAGTCAAATAGTCTATGTGATAAAGGAAGCAAAAGTTATAGTTTTTCTGACCTCTTTCTTCTTTTGAGCAGGAGCTATCAAGGGTCCAAAGCGCGAATGAGACAATTGATTTTCAGCATGCTCCAGTTTTTCAGCTGCATGACATCAGATGCATTAATTACATAAATGGAATTTACACGACAACCGACATACCTATAGCAATTTTTGAAGATCAAATGATGGTGGAAAGAAATAAAGGACTCGAAATATTAGAAAGAAAATTACCTAAATCTGAGATTTGACCAGCAACATAGTCTCCATTACCAAGCAAAGGAGAAGAAGAAAGGGTGTTCACCCAATATTTATTCCACAGAAGATCCAGGAGTTCACAATCAAGAGATGACTTGAAATATGTAATATCCAATGCATAATACTGCAAGACATAACAAGATTAGACTAAGAAAATTATGCAAAAGAGTTTGAGAGCCATACATTTTTAACAAGTCATCACCTGCTTACAATGCACACCAAAGTCCTCAATTTTGTTCAAGGGAATTGTCTGATACTCAGAGACAGGCTCATCTGGAGGTTTGTATCCATCTGGGTATGTCCTGAAAGCACCAATCTCAACTTTGCCAGCTGAAACAGTCCTTGTTGGATCAATAACAACTGCTAGGAAGGGCTCCTGATATTGCTGGTTAAGCATTTGTGTGGAAACATCAATGCCAGAAAGCCAACATCCATAACCAGGATGGGAATGGTACCACCCGACAACATTCTCAAGTCGACCCGCCTTCATCCACAAAATTAAATGTGAGACAATTAAAAAAAAGGATACTTAGAGAAATAACATAACACTAAGGAGAACAAAATCTAGATAGCGATTTATAAAATTTTAGACATAAGAAAATTCAATTGGTAATAAGTGTAATGCAGAAAAATGATTTGATGTAGACTTTCAGAGGAGGAAAAAATGTAAAAAGAAAAATCAATGACTTGATGTCGCGCTACTAAATTGCACTGCCAGATAGCTCATCACCAGAAAAAAAATGAGGAGAGAGGGCCACTAAGAGATTATTAGAAAAAGGCCCAAAAATTAGAGTAAATAAAGTGATAATTAATGACAGATGACCTCATCATCTGGTAAAACCATCGAGCAAATAAAGAACTCTGCGATGTTGAATTATGTATTCAACTTTCCCAGGTAATCTCCCTTCTAAATTGTACTCCAGAATAAAGTTTGTTGCCTAACTGTACTCGTTTTTCTTTAAGAAAATATTGTTGTCAAAGTAAACAAGAAAAGGATCCTATGGACTATCTAACTGATATTAATCCCAATCTTAGAAGAAAAGACTAAATCATTTTTATAAACAAGGGAAATATCAATATTTTTCTTCAAACAAATTTAAGCTAATTTTCAGTACCAATAGACTAGTTACAAGCCAGTAGTAACTTATCCTTTAAAAACATTGAAAATAAATCATACAAGACTTAAGAGATGTTTACCATGAAGTGCTTAAATTTTTTAACTCTTAAGCTAATTTACTAATTTCTAAATGCATATGGAACATATGAACAGACTTCAAATAAATTATATATGCATACAAATTTCCCCTGTAAAGGAATTTTAAAACACTAATTAAGTACTGGACAATTCAATATTTTAAAATCTCGTCATAAGAAAGTAGTAATTTATCGAACATTGACTTTGAAAGCAATGCCGATAAAGAAATTCTAAACCATTAAGACTAGATCCATTATTAAATTTCAGGCTTGCCTTCAAAAGTATATGGATTCAGATGCTAAACAAATAAAAACCTCTGCGTTCAGTAAATTACCAGTTTAAACTTAAAAAGCTTAACGGAATCCTCAAATCCTTTTAATTCTGGAGCTCAAAGATCTCCAAGGATTGAGATCCAGGTACTCTTTGCTTTAAATGTAGTATCTTGTTTTAAATTTCCTTTAGAACCTGAAACCATCTAATCACAAGGTATATCTTCTACTTCTATTAAGTACTTCACATTTCCAAAATTATACTCATTAACAAATTTCCTCCAGGACTAGCAAAAAACAACCGAGAGAAGTTCTGGGAATGGGCTGTCTCTTCGGGATCAGTGTTAAATAATTAAACACAAACATCCATATGATCGCACCACATTACTTATGGGAAGTGTAGGATTTCATTACCGTGCTTCCTCATCGAAAGGCATACATAATTTTGTCACACACTCAACAGACAAAATTTCCCCAAACTATCGTAGTCTAACTCCTAATATCCACAGATTACCCCAACCTATCATTGCAAACATACTTAAATATCCACAGATTATTTTAAGTCAATATTGAAAAGCAAATATTTTTTTTCCGAACGCCAAAGATTTCCCCTATATCATCACTGACCACTTGACACAAAAAACTACTATAATTGCTCCGAAATAAGTACAGCAGGTATGTAACTTTTCCAACATAAATAGCCACCCAAAAAAAAAAAATGTACAAAAACAACTTTAATAGAGCATTAGCAGCCAGAATTCTAGTAGTCACAACACATTGGAATGATAATAATTATAATAACATCAAATGCCTTAATATTTTACCGCACAATTTCATTTAACGCATGAATTCAAAAACCCACCCACCTGTCTGTTAGTCTGGGAATAATCGACCATGTACTCATAGGCATCAGCTTGGGCATTTACCCTAGTTTCAGTTCCCTCAACGGGGAGGGCAAAAGCGTCCATAACAATTATAGTATCACCATCGGTCTTTCCTTGCATGAGTCCCATGACCTCAATGTTGCCGCCGGAGCGGGCATGGACAACCATCTTGAGGAGGGCGAGTGCAGAGACTTTAACGCGTTTGAAATAGTGTGGATCGTTGGCCCACGGCTTTTCTTGCTGGAAAGCATCCTGCGCCGCCCCGTCGTAGTAGAATATTGCGTCCGACGCGGCGGAGTTGTCGTTGGCGGCAGTGGTGGTGACTATATTGTTTTCCAGTTCCCAAGTTTGACGGGCAATCGCCGCCGAGGAGAAGGGATCCATTGTTAATGGGTTCTTTTGCGCAAATTCGCAGTTACGGTTGTGTTTATTTTGATTTTTGAGGAAAAAGGAAGAAAAAATGAGTTGGGATGGCCACTTATCAAAGTCGGGTATTTGGCACATGAGCCTAATTTAACAATATATTTGGTTAAATGACTTTGATCAATAATAAAAATAAATAAAAAAATATAAAATATTTTAGTTGGCAAAATAAGAAAATTTTCCTTTAGTTTTTCTCATTTTATCCTGTCATTTCTCCTCCAAATTTACCTTAAAACCCTAATTTTTTTTAAATAACGTCTTCTTCTTCCTATTTTCATCTTCTTCAATTTTTTTTATCTTCAAAATTACAATAACTTATTTTCTTCTCTTCAAAATTATATTCTTTGTTATATTTCTTCACTTATTTGGGGTATCTTTTAAGCGGAAAAATATATTCTTAGAAATCGCATCTATATTGTATTTTTATTATTAAACAATATTTAGTTGGTATTGTTTTGGTAATTAGTGTGTTTTTTATATTATATGCAACCATTGAATGTACGAAATACAGAACACCACTTCAGTCGTTATCTGTAAAGTAAAACGACACTACAATCGTTATCTGCTGTAGTTTGATTTTTTCAATAAAATGACATCTAATAATGGATTTGCTAACGTATATAATATAAAAAGATTGACTAGTCAAAAAGAACGATGGAAATGACATATTTTATATTATTGAAATGGTAAAAGCAAAAATCATAACACTCATATGTGTCGATTAAATTAATGAATATATTTATCAACTTTTGTATGTGTCATGTACATATTACAATAAAAATAAGTTTCACTTATTATTTTTAGGGAACAAACGGACCGTAATTACTTATACTTGTATTTATGCACGTAATAGCACAAGTGTCGTTTTCATGTCCAATGACGGTACTTGTGTCATTCCGAAAGTTTCACCTATATTCGATTTTTTCAACAAAACAACATTCAATAATAAACTCCCTAACGTATGTTACTGACATGAAAATGTTTATGCTTCGTTAGGGGGTCCAATGTTTGAAATCATTGTGTTGGAATAAAACCAAAATATATGAGAAATCAATAGAACGATACAATAGCCGTTACTGAAATGAAACGACCATTCTGCATTCTATCTATGAATATGAGTTGAGAAATATGCTCATTAATTGTCAGTCTAGCTTCCCAATGATGGTACAACTGTCATTATGATTGTAAATTTATTTATTCATGAGAACGACACTTGTGCCGCTACCATGATGAGAACATCTATAAGAACTTTACAGCTATCATTATGCCTGTAAATATACTTGTCTATGAAAATGACACTTGTGTCGTTGTTGAGATGAATAGTCTATGAGAACGGTATTAGCGTAATTACCGGAATTAAAAGTTCTAAGAGATATGCTTAGAGCTAGGTAAATCTCCCGAACTGAACCTGAACCGAACTTGACGATTTTTGTCAAATTAAATACCCGAACGGGTATCTGAATTGAGAACCGGCGGGTACGGTTCGATTCTCGGTTCTAGACCAAGAACCGAAAAATCAAATAAGAATCGAATCTTTCTAATTTTTTTTTATATTGAGTAAATCAAATTATTTTAATTTTAATTTTTTCTAAACAAATTAACAAATTAACGATTTCTAAATCCAGATTTATGGCCCAATAATTTGTTTCATTTCTAATTTTTTAATTTTTAGCCCAATTACACATTTTATTGTTTCATTTCTTAGCCAAAAAAGATCAAATCCACTAAATAACCCTAAACACCTACACTAGAGTGCATAATGTTGTCTCGACTCTCGCACTCACTCTCGCAGCCTCGCTAATATTCCCAAACCTATACAATCTTCGATCGACACTGTGACCTCCGCCGACCGAAACTTTGATCGTAATGATCATTTGAACAAGGTAGTTTACTAGTCTTTGACATTCCAAAATCATTGAATGTATCATTAGTTGTATTTATATAATGTTGTTATAAATGTTAAAAAATTTAATTATAGTACAGAACGGAACGGAACGGAACGGAACTGAACCGAATGGAACCGAACCCGAACGGTTCCATAATTATATTTGGACCCGACGGTTCCATTTACTAGACACCCGAAAAGTTTGGTTCGGTTCGGTTCTCTTTAGAACCGAACCGAACCGACCCGTGCCCACCCCTAGATATGCTTATTACTTTTATTTTGTTGAAAATAATAGAATCACTTGTACTTTCAACAACTTTATATCAAATAAATTTACATAATTTCAATCATTCTTTGTCACATGATTTATTTTTCTCGCGTACTTTACAAATCCAATGTTTGAGGAAGAAAGGTCATTGAAAACGACACGTGTGCTGTTATTGAAATTAAAAGTTCTAAAAGAACGGAACAAGTGCCGCTTAGAGGATGAAAATGTCATTAAGAACGACACTTCTGCCGTTATTGAGATGAAAAGTTATAAAAAGAACGACACAAGTGCCGTTATCGAAATATAATTTCTTCATGAAAACGGCACTTGTTTTGTTACTTAAAGAAAAATACATTTGTGTCATTCAATATATAAGCACGAGTATAAATAACCTCGAAATTTATTTCAACTGCAAGATAGATATGTCGTTTACAAAAATTGAGAGATGTACTCATTCATTATATTTTCTACAAATTAATACAATGATTTGTGATTTCACCAACTCGATATCGTATAACTTATGTCAATTTAACTGTTCTTTGTTACGTGATCAACCTTTCTAACTTTCTTAAGTTAGGGGATCCAAGTTTGAGGTCGCTACATTGGAAAAGAAACAAAATTTGAGAAATCAACATAACGACACAAGAGCTGTTAAACGACACTTGTGTCATTCGGTCTACAAACACGAGTATACGTAGCCACGACCCATCCATGGCTCGAGAATTAATAAGTTGAACTCATTTCAATTGTAATATGAACATTCCGTTTACAAAAGTTGAGAGATGTGCTCATTGATTATATTTTCTAACGATTCAACAATGACTTGTGATTTCACCTATTCAATGTTGTATAATCTATGTCAATTCAACTGGTCTTTGTCACGTGATCAACCTTTATAACTTTCTTAAGTTAAGGGATCTATATTTGAGGTCGTTGCATTTAAAAAGTAGCAAAATATTTGAGAAATCAATAGAACAACACAAGAGTTGTTAAACGACACGTGTCGTTTTGTCTATGTATACATAGCCATGATCCATCCTATCCTCAATAATCAAATACTTGAGCTCATTTTAGTTTCAAGATGGACATGTTGTGTACAAAGTTTGAGAGATGTGCTCATCAATTATATTTTCTAACGAATGTAAATAACAATTTGTGATTTCTCTAACTCTATATCGTATAATCTATGTGAATTCTATCGTTATTTGTCACATGGTCAAAATTTTTGATTTTTTTTTTTTTAAGTTAGGGGGTCCAATACTTGAGGTTGTTATAGTGGAAAAGATGCAAAATATTGGAAAAATCATCAAAACGGCACAAGTGTCGTTAAACGTCACTTGTGTCGTCGTGTCTTTAAACACTAATATAAGCCGCTACGACCCGTTCCATACTCGATAATCGATGATTTGAGCTCATTTCAGTTGCAAGACGGACAAGTCGTGTACAAAGTTTGAGAGATGTGTTCATTAAGTATATTTACTAATGAATGTAGATAACAACTTGTGATTTTTCCAAATCTATATCATATAATCTATGTGAATTCTACCGTTATTCATCATATGGTCAATATTTCCGACTTTCTTAAGTTAGAGGGTTCTAAGCTTGTGGTCGTTGTAGTAGAAAATATGCAAAATATCAAAAAAATAATAGGAACGTCACAAGTGCCGTTAAACATCACTTGATTGTTCTGTCTTTAAACACTAGTATAAGCCGCAACGATCCCTCCAATCCCCGATAATCGATGATTTGAACTAATTTAAGTTACAAGATGCACACATCGTGTACAAAGTTTGAGAAATGTGTTCGTTAATTATATTTTCTAACGAATGTAGATAACGACTTGTAATTTTTCCACTCTATATCATATAATATATGTGAATTCTACTGTTATTTGTCATTTGTTTATAAACATGAGTATACGCAGTCATGACTGATCCATGCCCCATGAACCAATAAGTTGAACTAATTTCAGTTGAAAGATGGGCATGTTATTTACAAAAATTGAGAGATGTGCTCATAAATTATATTTCCTAACGATTTAATACAATAACTTATCATTTCACCAACTCGATATCGTATAACGTATGTCAATTCAATCGTTTTATATCACGTGATCGATCTTTCTGACTTTCTTAAGTTAGGGGATCCAAAATTTGAAGTCGTTGCATTAGAAAATAAGTAAAATATTTGAGAAATCAACAGAACGACACAAAAATCGTCAAACGACACTTCTGTCGTTCTGTCTATAAACACAAATATACACTGCCACGACCTATCTATGCCTCGAGAACCAATAAATTGAACTCATTTAAGTTAAAAGATGGGCATTCCATTTACAAAAGCTGTGAGATCTACTCATTAATTATATTTTCTAACGAATCAATACAATGACTTGTGATTTCACCAACTCGATATCGTATAATCTATGTCAATTCAATCGTTCTTTTGTTACGTGATCAACCTTTCTGACTTTTTTAAGTTAGACGATCCATGGTTTGAGGTCGTTGCGTTGGAAAATAAGCAAAATATTTAAGAAATCAACAAAATGACATAAGAGTCGTTAAATGACACTCGTGTCTTTCTGTCTATAAACACAAGTATACGCAACCACGATCCATCCATGCCTCGAGAACCAATGAATTGAACTAATTTAAGTTGAAAGATGGGCGTTCCGTTTCCAAAAGTTGTGAGATGTGCTTATTAATTATATTTTCTAACGAATTAATACAATGACTTATGATTTCACCAACTCGATATCGTATAATCTATGTCGAATCAACCATTCTTGTAACGTGGTCAACCTTTCTATCTTTCTTAAGGGATCTAGTGTTTGAGGTCATTACGTTGGAAAATAAGCAAATTATTAGAGAAATCAACAGAACGGCATAAGAGCTGTTAGATGACACTTGTGTTGTTCTATCTATA